GAAATCCCCTCCCCTTCCCATAACTCCTTTCCAGGACCTTCAGGTGTTCCCGCCTCTGGACACAGCTGCAGAGGCAATCTCCATGGGAAGAAGCATGTGGGGACCTGATCTTCGGTCCCCAGAACCCAAGTAAAAAGCAGGCTATGGCACCTGCTGGCTGTGACTCCAGTGCTAGGAGAAAGAGACAGGAGTATCATGGGGAAGGGGAGGGGCACTGACTCTCTCCCTCCTTCACACGGTGTGATCTGTATGTTCGGCTACCCCTGAATTCTTTTGCAGAAATAATGAGAGCTCTCCCTAAGGTCTCTGCTCCATCTACTCAGCTAAAGTCTCAAAATATAGGATGAAGACACTGATGTCAGCTTCACCCCTTTACAGATGCATGCACATGCACTATGCACTCTCAGACACAGACAGACAGAGAGCAAGACAGTGAACCAGCCACGCACACGCGTGTGTACACACACAAACACACACACACACACACACACACCATTGTTTTTTAATGTAATCCCATGCATTAGTTATTTTTCTGTTGTTATGATAGAAAACCATGACCAAAGATGACTTAAGGAAAAGAGAATTTGTTTTGGACTGGCATTTCTAGAGGGATGAGAGACCATGATGGCGGCACAGAGGCATGGCAGCAAGCAGCAGGCAGTGACAGGACAGGAAGCTGAGAGTGCACACTTCGAACCACAAACAAGAAACAGAAAGAGCTAACTAGAGGCTCTGAATCTCCAAGCCTGCCCCCAATACCATGCTTCCTCCTGCAAGTCTCCACCACTCTAACTCCCCCGCCCCAATGCTACTAACTGGGGACCAAGTGGTCAAATGCCCAAGACTATAAGGGACATTTGTCATTCAAACCGCACACTCCATGTAAAGGATAAAACCTAGAAAGAGATGGACAGGATTTAGGACCAAGTAGAAAGGTCACTGTCCAGGCAAGAATGACCTGAGCCTATCCCATTTTAAGTGGGCAGAGAGCAACTCTGCATTGAAGAATGTAGTTCCCATGTTGGCTGTCTCGTTGTGCCATTTCCCACAAGACATTTCTGTTAAGAAAATAAATTCCTAGAATCAGATGTCAGTGTGCTCTAAAGGACTCTTTGAATAGGAACAAAACAAATCCTTCTTATGCAAGTTTTTCTATATAGCTGACATAAATAAATAAATAAATAAATAAATAAATAAATAAAATAAAAAAAGATTTCAGGGTGTGGGTATAGGTCAGTGGCAGAGTGTATGCTTAGAGCATGTGAGAGCCCTATTACCAGTAATGTAGAAAAGAATCACAAGAAAGTTTCAGGGAGAGAAAATGGCTTCATGAAGGAAGTGTACCAATTGATGATATGAGGCTCTTCTCCTTTTTCCTCTTGCAGCTCAAAATTCAGCAGTAAAATTAAGTATGTCAGTAGTTTATCTGAACTCAGTGGGCTGATCCCAATGGATTGCATCCACATCCCAGAGAGCATCGTCAGGTAAGTCTGAGGGCATGGAGCGTTGCTGAGAAATGACACGCACTGGAGGAGGGGTAGGAAACACTCACTTCTAGAGCAATGAGACATGGCATCTGATTTTTAAAGGAAATATTAAGCATTATCTAATAAATAAAGCTTTCGCTGGGGCCTTTAAATTACTATTTTTTCAGATCCTCTTTTACACAATGTAAATGATTAGTTACTGACTTTTAAAAAATTTTATTTCATGCAATACATTTTGATCCTATTTTTCCAGCCAAGATTAATATTGATATGTAGTAAGTGGGGGTTCTTGGGGGCAATGGAAACCTCAGGCAAGCTGTAGCTGGTGGGATGGTGCCTAGGGTCTTGGAAAATGAACAGGCAGCAAGAATCACCCCAGGATAGTGGTTTCTGGGTACTTTGTCTCACAGACTCATGGAATGAATTTCCCAGACAATGGGGAGGTGAGTTTTAGGAAGGAGCTTATTATAGGTTCATATGAGAGCTTATAGGTGAGACGCCAGCAAAGTGCCCATATATTAAGAGCAGGTGCTAAGGAAGGACACCATCAAATGTCCATAGTAGGGGTTAAGAAGGCTTTTCTAGATTGAGGCATGGGATGGACCATGAGGGGGGGAGATCTGGTCATCCTAGTTGTCCCACCCACCAGATATTCATGTGACAATTTTTGTCACAGCCTCGAATATAGCTTCCAGACAATAGTATTCTTTGCTGTGTGAAAGAAAAAAGAATAAGAAACCAGACCAGAAAAATAGGCCCCAAACATACCTGCATTTCTAGCCTCCAGCCAAGACAGAACTACAGACATTTCTGGCTTCTGTCCAAGGACAAAAATCAAAACTCCTTTTTTTTTTTTCTTTTTTTTTCTTTTTTTTTTTTTTTGAGGAGCCTGCTCCTAAGACTTTCTGACTAGCTTCTATCTCCTGTTCTCTTCATTTGTCAATCACCTCCTGTACTGCTATACTTTTGCAAAAGATGACAAGGACATTCTGTCTTCTTAAGGGAGTGAGCACTGGCTGTTTTCCAGAAAAACAGCAAGGCCTCCCATGGACTGGCAGAGACAGTGCAATGAAAAGAGGATGGGCTTTTGGGGCAATTTGATGTGAATTTCAGGCAGCCTATGAAAATCCCCAGAGGTTTAGTGTTCACATCCATAAAATGGGGAAGTAATTCTCAGAGTGTGGATGGGGCTGAGGATTGAATGAGAGCAGTGAGCACAGAGCTTGAGGTCTACAGTGCTACTGATTATGATTGCATTGCTTTGGAGAACTACTGTGCTTGGCTGGGGGCTGAGAAGCTAGTCATGGCCAGGCAATTTCCTTCTATTCTCAAGGGCTGCATTTTGGAAAAGTTGCTTCAAGAGGAAGAGTTCCAGTTAGAAAGATTCGTTTTTCTGGAGGAAGAACCTAGTCCTGTGGGTCCCCCCACCACTGTACCCCATCTGTGTTTCCTCCTGTCGTTAGGATACATCCCAGGGCATCTTTTCTGCCATTTCTTTTACTAGCCCTCTTTGGTTCATTTTCACATTGTGCAATTTCCAAATTGCCACAGCCATAGCTATTTTCTTTCACTGAATAACATCCAAAGCATTTGATCCCAAGCAATCCCAAGACCAAAGTTCAGCTGTGTGGAGCCTGGCATCAGTGGGCTGAAATGCAGTTTATATTCATTAACTACAGTTGGTTCTCATTAGCCTGGGACAGTTCTGCTCAGTTAAAGTCGTTGTAGACACTCAGTGGACACTGAGCAATTATTCCTGGGGGAAATACAGGCCTGGGATCCTGTCTGCCTCTGGTTGCAATGTCTTCATTCCCCACCAGTATATAACCTTGGTTTGTTTTTCATCCCCCACCATATATAACCTTGGCTCGTGTGTATCTCTGTTTGAGAAAACTTCTTAGTCAGCACATACTGTTGACTCGCTGTCCTTGTGCTCACTCAGCTTGGTGTGGTGGCAACTGTGTGTAATCACACAGCACTCAAAGACTGAAATACAAGGAGCCAGCGTCTGAGGCCAGCCTGGGCTACGCAGCAAGGCCCTCTCTCAGACAAACAAGCAAAACAAACCAAATCTTGCACCCAAGGCCCCAGCACACACAACTTGTACCTAAAACAATGTTCTGGAACACACACACACACACACACACACACGTTCTCTGTGAGGTACACTGTCTATCTCGTTCCTACAAACAGGTGATATTTGGTAACATGCTTGACTGCTGTTTTAAAATAGCAGGATCACCAGCCAAAAATGAAGTTAACATTTACCCAAGAAACTATATGAGCTAGGAAGGCACAGCCTCATTCTGCTCAACTTCTGCCGATTGTGTGCACAGGGGACAACTTGAATTTTTGTCACCTTGTCATGTCCACAAGTGAACAAAAGCACTGCACATTGATTCTAGAAATTTCAGATGTCCTAGTAAACAGGCAAATTTTCAGATATGGAGTCTACAAACAGCGAGGATTGACTGTATATTTATGAATTGTAAATTGTTAATTGTGCCTAATACAATTAAGTTTTCTCTCCAAAGTCAGTCATGTTGTCTGGGTAAGCATTTTTCTCTCGAGTTCTTACTGTTTTAAGCAGTGGTTCTCAACCTGTGCGTCCCCACCCTATTGAGGGTTGCATGTCAATTCGTAACAGTAGCAAAATTGCAGCTATGAAGCAGCAACAAAATAATTTTGTGGTTGGAGTCACCACAACATGAGGACCTGTATTAAAGGGTTGCAGCATTAGGAAGGTTGAGAACCACTGGTTTAAAGCAATTGCCTGTCATTTTCCTCCTGTTTCTCACTGTCCTCATGGCATCCATTTCTTATCTTGTAAGGTACGATGAAGAAAAATCTTTTAAGAGAAGTGTGAGGTAAAAAAAAATCTCAAGATCTGTATTCACGCTGGACCCCCTGTGTGTGTACTCCAGTGTTGTATTTGTGGGTGACCTCAACATGCTGCCTGAGGAAGTCTGTTGTACCAGTCCTTTGAATTCCCCTCAAGTGTTTGTCCTGTGTGTAAAGCTGTTGAGGTCAACCCGATCTGCTACCGAAACCTACTAAACCAGATACACCCCTGACTTGTCCCAGGCTGTGAGCTAACTTTAACATCCACTCTGATATGGATGGTCTGAGCTTTATTCAGCCAGCATGTTCCTCACTCCCTGGCAACATCTATATCATCTTTGTGAAGGGATTTGCAAAGTAAACAGACAGGACCGCCCAACAGGAAGGAATGGCGCCATGCTTAGCTGAGTGTGTCTCGGTGCACCCGGAGACAGTTTTGGGGGGAGAAAGTGAATACACACCACTTACGATTGGCTCTGCTTTGCGGGAGACGCTCATGCTCTGCTTGCTTTTTTGTTTGTTTGTTTGTTTCTTTTTTCCAACGATAATTTTTGCTCATGCAGACTGGATGAAGAACTGAGGGAGGCATCAGAAACAGCTAAGTAAGCCCTGGTTTTGGTTTTGCGGCTGGGGTGATGTTGGCTTGCGTTTCAGGAATGATTGGGAGAAACTGCACGGCTGCTTTTCTTCTTGCCACCACCCCCCCCCACCCATAATAATGCTGCACCTTGAAACTTCCCTTTCTCCACTGCCAATATAGTCACTGATGCTTTTATTATAATACCCCTCCCCCACAATCTTGGTTATCTTAAGGAAAGCATTTGTCACTGTTTAATTTATTCTTTAATATATCTGAAATTCTAGATGTCACCAGTAAACATCACCAGGCACTGTCACACAGAGTGTTGCATCTGAATGACCCCTAGATATAGTGAGGCAACAGAACCACACCAGTTCATATTAGGAAATAAAACTTGGAAAGATTTTTGTAGAATTGGTTTCACAGCCTTCCAAGATATAAAATAACACTCTAAGTTTAGAGAGAGGGTCCAGTTGTTATAAGCACTGGCTGTTCTAGAGGACCAAGGTTCTAATCCCACATGATGGCTCACACCTGTCTATAACTCCAGGTTTAAGGGATCCCAAACTCACTTCTGGCTTCTGCAGGCACTGCATATGCATAGTGCAGAGACACACATCCAAATAAAACATCCATACACATAAAATAATAAAGATAAACAAATGCTTGGTTTAGTTTTTAAGAACTATCACTTAACTCATAGTTTCCAAGCTATTTTGATTGGGGGGTGGACATTGCTCAGTCTTGTGAGGCATGACACTGAAAAAGGCAAGGATGTACTGTCAGGAAAACATAAAATGAACACATGTCAAATGATGTTACTTGATGAATTATTTAATGAAGGAACTAGTAATGAGTTCCGTGAACCTGAAGAGAATTTAAATGGCACACCTGTGGCAGTCACTTCTTCCCACGTTCCAAGGTACCTCATGGGTACCTGAAACCACATACGGTTCCAACCCCTGATTGCACTATCTGATTTCCTGTCCAGACACACCTGTGATTCACACTAGGTAACATACTGTGAAGAAGTTACTTCAGACTTATGAGTGATTTATTTCCATAATTTTCCATTTGATATTTTCAGAGCATTTTGGCTCTTCGTAACTGAACCTGCAAAACATGCAATTGCAGATATGTGCTATAGGGAATTTACAAAAGGCTGTTTGGATAAGATAGTTTGGTTAGATAATAAGTTGGTTAATGTTCAGTAGGACAATACACTAATATCAGGGTATCTTTCTCCCTAGATAGGCATGGCTGCATCACTGCAGGATATAAATCTACAAGTTAACCCCTGCCCTTGTGGCACTAAGGGACAGCCCTGAAATGTCGAGCCAGAGCTGACTGGGAAGAGCCCCCAGTCATTTTCTTTGTTCATTTTCAAGTCCACAAAGAAATCTTCTGAGGTTATGTGTTAAATGTATATGGCTGCTATCCAGAAAGTCTGATGTATTGAGTACATTAAACTTCTTCACCACTTTAAATGTTGCTTATGCTGTTAATCTTTACAACAAACAAAAGCAAAAAAGCCGAAACAATGTCCAAGGCTGATACAAATTCTGAGTAAATGCTAATAGTGAGGTTTTCCCTGTATGGTGATAAATGCCAGTTCCTCCTTAAAACAGCCCATTTAGATGTTATTTTGGCTATATATTTTTGTTGTAGGTAACCTACAGAATTATTTGCCTAAAATCTGAATCCTTTGCATTAAAAATGCCTGAGTAAAACTAATTAGATGGCCTTAGCCATCTTGATGGAGATTTGTTGGGTAAACTATTTCCTAGAAGAATCCCACCCCAATTGATCCTGTTCCTTTTAATGGTGAAATTAAAAAGAGTTCTTACATTTGGCTATATATGAGGAAAGTGAATTGAGCTCTGTTGACCCTACAGAGGTTGGTTTTTAGTGTTTTTCTTGTTCTTGTGGTTTTTGAGACAGAGCCTCACTATGATAGCCTTCACTGGCCTGGAACTTTCTTTGTAAACCAGGCTGGCCTCACACTCACAGAGATACACTTGCCTCTGCCTCCCAAGTACTGGGGTTAGAGGCATGTGCCACCACAGCTGGTCCCACAGGGGCTTGGAATGTCTCAAAATCCAACCATTTTGATGCCCACTGTACCTCCTTAGCTATGTGTTAGCCTCTGGTACAGCCCCTAAATCCTGGGGCAGACTCTGTAGATGATTGTTGACTCAAAAACTGTGCTCCCAGCTTATCAGAGGCTGGAAGTTAGCTATTCCCTATTCTTTCTGTTAACAGATGCCGTGACTATCCATGTGGCTTTGTTAGAAAGCTTTGGACTGGCTCTACCTGAGTCAGATATGCACTATAGTTCTTACCTACAGCATTTTAAAGCCTCTCCCTTTCCCCTGTTTACACACACCACCTCCCATTTACCCCCTAGGAGATGGCTCAGCTGGACAGCTTTCTTTTGGACCTTGGACCCACACAAGGGCAGAAAATAGTTTGAAAGGGTCTTTACTATAAACAAGCCCATTCTTTGTTCCAAGTGAGGACTAATCCATCCACTGCCTTTCCCATGGTAGTATTAACATGTCTGAAAATTATTGTTTCCTTTGAGAGATCCCCCAGTTAAAAAGCAGAAAGGCTGGGCTCAGAAATTTGCCCTTTCTTGATTCTAGTCCAGCTTTGCCTACTTTTGCTAGCTCAATGTCAGTACTTACTTCTCTGTCCTGCCCCCAGGGGGGAGGGGCTGGGAGAGGGGGGGGGGGGGCCGGGGGGGGGGGGGGGGGTGGGGGGGGGGGGGGGGGGGGGGGGGCAAAAGCCCAGCAAGGCAAACAGCCTCCTGATATTTTCAAGAAAATACTGAACTAGCCACAGACCCTCATGCAAATGGAAAATTAGCTTGCCCAGTTATTCTCAATGAAAAAGGAACCCATGTGTTTAAAAAGATCAGTTCAACTGGGGTGGTGGCTGAGCAGTTAAGAGCACTTGCTGCTTTTCGAGGAGACCTGGTTTATGTGCTCAAAACCCAGATGGAAGTTCACTGTAACTCCAGTTCTTGAGGACCCAACTTCTTCTGACCTCTGCAGCCAGCAGGTACACATGTAGTGCACATACATACAGGCAAGCAAAACATTCGTACATTTTAAATCTTTTTTTAAAAATAAGTACAACAGATCATAGAATCTTTAAAATCATTTTTCCCATTTAAAAAAATCATGAGAGGAGGGGGGGAGTAAAAGCTGCAGTGTACTAAGTATTAAGAATTGATATAAGGTGAACTTGAAGTCTGTTAGCATAGTTATCACACTGATACGGATATCCTGAACAGCTAAGTTATACAAAGACCTACGCTCTATTGCAACCTTTGATTGCATTCTTTTTAATGGCTACACTTTTCTTCCTGGAACTGTGCCACTTAGATAGTGTTAGGATTCATGAGAGCCACCTAAGCACTGCTCAGCCCCAGGGAGTAGTAAGTGTCCTGCCCCTATCCTGTTAACCACATGAAGCAGAGCTGGCCCAGGCAGTCTTTTTTCCATGCCTTGGAAAATCCTTGTTCTTGTGAAGCCTGAAGGCTGCTGTGTTATGTCTAAACAAAATTCAGCTGTTTAAAAGGTTTGCCTTTGGGTATAAAATATTTCCTTATTGTTTTTAGTACATAAAATTCATTTTCAATATTTATATTCACTGCATAAGAACAGATCTGAAAAGTAAGAAAAAGTGGCTTGGACAGATACTGGAGGTATTTGAAGTTTTGTTACTATTATCTTTTTATATTTCTGTATCTTGATTAATGACTATATCTCAAACCTGATGCCAAAAGTTAATAGCATCATTTGTTCTGGTATAGATTTGGGATCACAGGAGTAGCAAATGGTACCACATTAAACAGTTTTAAATGCCCCAGCCAGTGATGCTGACATGGCAATAAGAGTGAGAAATTGTTGATGACTTCCTGTTTGTTTGTTTTCCCTTGCACTCAGAACTAGCTGCCTTTACAATGATCCGGAAATGACTTCTATGGAGAAGGAGTAAGAACTCACCATCAGTAACACCATGTGGTTACCTGTAGTATTGTATGGCTGGACTCAAAGGGAAACCAATGCATCCAGGATTGGGTAAACCCGTTGAGATGTGCAGCTTTCATGGGCTCTGTTTCTGGAATGACTAATTACAGAGACATTTGCCAGCTACTCTTAAGTCTTAGTGATTGCCACAAAGGACAACTGAATGCTTAACCCAACGTTCCTCCTTCCCACTCCAAAAATGTTTGGGGGCCAGTTGTACAAACACTGGGGCAAAAGGAATGCCACTCTGCTTTCAGAATTACATCATCCATTGCAGTTAGGAAAAGCTCAGTCTTCCATGTGGATTTAATATTTTGGTGGATAGGGAAGAAATATCTTTGCTTTACAAATTCCAAGAGGCAATTGAACCTGCCTGGGACTTCTGGAAATTTATAGTTGGATATGACTTTCCTGTAAGAAATAGAAACTGGACATGCATAGAGTCCTTAGCCTATGTCATACTCTAAGAAGCAGCTCACACACAGTGCCTGAGATTCATCCTAGAGTAAGCTTATGAAGTACATTTTACAGAGAAAAAGGAACTATGCATAAAGCATGTGACTAGCTAATGTTTTGCAGTCCTTAAAAAGGTCCCAAGATGGGATTTGAAGTATGACCTTGCAGATCCATGGCTTTCAAATCAGGGAGGTGGTCTGTGCTGTGGTTGCTGCTTCTCATCTAACAAAGACAAAAACTGCTCACATAGGAGTGGTCAAGTCAGTTTCATGTAACGGTGGTCAGTAATATAATCTCAGAAAATTTGACATGAGGCAAGAGGCCCCTAGTTTAACCTTAGTGGTAGAGAATTTAGGATTGTCCTTGTTCCCAGGGACCAAGAAAGGCAAGCAAAGATCAACTTAAAACCTATCTCCCTTACCACTCTTTGTCTCCTCCAAGTCCAAAGAGAAGTTGGAAAAGCACAGTGCAGCGTCTGCATCTGCCTTGTTGCCCTTAAGGCTTAAAGGAAGTTTAGGGACAAAACAGAGTCCCAACTCAAAAAAGGAACTAAGGGCAAGATAACTGTTGTAAGGGAACTTTCCAAATCATGTAGCTATTTCCTAAAGGTCACTCTTGTTCCAAATTTTGAGATGACAGCACCAATTACTTCAAATTGCTTTTGCAAAACAAACGTATCTCAGTCTCTGAGTCCATTGTAATCCATTTTTCAAGCATGGCATTTCCTCCTGTTGCAAGGCCACCCACAGTTCAGCTTGCCCTTCATTGGCCTGTTGCTGCTACATCTTGGGGTTTACCCACTTCTCTGCCTGCCTTGTTTATGTGCACGTCCTTGGTGAGAGGACTATGGGGTTGGTCTAGAGGACATATCTGTTCTGTTTGGGCTCTTTCCAGGGCTGGCTGTGGGGAGGGGGTATGCTGCCAGCTGTTGATGTTACGTCCCGTTCTTGGAAGAACATATGCTCTAGAAGTTTCCCTGTTCTTCATCCCTGTCTTTCCTGAGCTCCTACCAAGCAGATCATCTCCCCAGCTACCAGGATGAGATCCCAGAAGGGGAACCAGAGTGGGCAAGAATTTTCTCCCCTGACCTCTAGACCTGCATTTGTTTGTTTACTTGCTTTAACACTGGAATGAACAAGTGGGCTTTGTCCACCTTCTCCTGGCTTTGGGGGAGGTGGAAGGATCCTACATGGAAGCATTTTACACCTGTAACTAGTACTGAATGGATGAAGTGCAAATTGGGCACAAGCTCTTTCAAGGGGCTCCATTGGGCTAAGACTAAAGTGAAATGAGATATGTAAGGGTCCTATAGCGGCCCCCCATTCTCCACAGAGAGAAGGGACATTACACCTTCCTTGCCACTCCTCCATAAAACATGAGTATTTTTAACTGCCATTAAACAGGATTGCCATATACCTTGTAAGGTACATCACTTAATGCATGCAAAAAGTAAGACCAGCCTGCCACTGAATGGTAGGTCATTCTTGTGCAGGGCCAGCTTGGTAAGTTGGTTATGAACAGCTAAGCTCATCTCCCCGGACAAGATGAATCCCCCATCCATGTTCAATTCTGATCCAAAGTTGTCATTGGTGTGTCATTCTCAAAAGGGATACTTTGTTAGCAAACCACTTTTCTTGCTTTTCTCCTTTACTTTAGGTTTGGGTTATATTCATTCCCATCACAAAGTTGTAGCACAACTATTTATATTTGTAATGCATTTTTAAAATTAGATGCGTTATTGGTGGCTTCATTAACCCCACATGGTAGCTCTTGTCTCAAAAGCAATCGGTAGAGTGGTTTCCTGTGCAGACTTATCAGGAAGTTGTCCACAGGTTGCTCTTTGCATGCACTGGGTAAACAGGCTTTAGTCTCTCAGCTATTCATTTACCCAAAACCAAAGCATTGATATAAACCCCAGAAAGTTTGACAAAGGACTCAGAAAAAGAGAGAGACGGAGAGTTGGAGATGTACATTCTAGTATGTCAGAATGTCAGATCAGGTATTTGTCAAAGGCCCAGATTGCAAAGCACAGAGACTGCCTACTTTAAACTCTATGGAGTTTGAGTGTAGTGAATGTCTTTATGTTTTCAGGGGAAAACTGAGCCAACTGCATGAGAGAAAAAAAATAAATAAAACTTCAGCTACCAGCTGAGACCTAGCACTAACTTCTGAGTATATTTTAAACATCATAGAAGCAAAAGCAATTAAGAAAGAAAACTGACCTGCTTTGTAAAAGTATGTTAGGAACAGATATGGGAGTCCGGCAGATGAATGAAGACACCACCCAAGGAAAGTCCTGCAGATAACAAGTCAGATCCTTGAAGGCACAAGAAACAAATAAGTTGCCAGTGCCTGATTCCCTTTGAGCTGGCCCCTCATCACATCTGTCATGGCCGGTTCTTCAAACTCCCTAAGCAAAGAAGATTATTGCCAAGTTAGAACTACTCCTTTACTAGTCGTGAGACAGACTGTGCCAAACTATCTCAATGGGATACAATCCAGAAATGGGGGGTGGAGCCGATGTGGTCAAATGTGCACTGAGGGAATTTCAAAGGAAAAATATCACATTAGGGCACCCTAGACAGACAAGTGGTCCATGTTAAAGTAGCTTTGTCTGTAACGTTACTAGAAGACTTGGTTGCCACACGGGCCACAAGAAAGTCCACCCCAGGCAGACTGGTGGCTCAGAGGGGCAGAGAGAAATCCAGACTTCTTAACATGTTGCTTTCAAATTACTCGTTCCTCTTTTTATAATGACTGGAGTTCTCTGTTTGGCTGTTCACTGGCTCAAGTTCTCTTCCTGTGTGGTGAATGTACAAGACAGTTGCATGACGTTCATTAAAAGGCAGAGGAGAGACCCATGCAACTCCAAGAATGTTCACTCCATGTTGGAGAGGAGCTAGGAAAGCCATGAAAGCAAGTTGCTGCTTAGACACCCCAGAGATCAGTACGCAGCCCCAGTTCAAGGATGAAGTCTCTTGAGAGCGAGGGCTGCTGGTATGAGCCGATGTTCAAAGGTCAAAGATCCCTGAGTCTGAGGTCCACAAGCAACTAACTGCATGAGAAAAGACTTCCAGACAGGAAGGGACAGTGTGAGAAGAGAGCAAGCCCTGTCTGACTTCTTCCGCTTTCCAGTCGGTACAGTGCCCAGTCTGGTAGACAGTGACAACCTCATTCAAGATGGATCTTTACCACTCAGTTGAGACTCCCGTGGTAGATGTATTCATGTGCACACAAACACAGAGAGAGAGAAGGGGGGGGTTCTGTACTATCTCTCCAGTCAAGTGGACACCAAAAGACTCCCGTGGTAGATGTATTCATGTGCACACAAACACAGAGAGAGAGAATGGGGGGGTGCTGTACTATCTCTCCAGTCAAGTGGACACCAAAAACTGACTATCACAGAAAGAAAAATGATCCACTAAAAACAGGAAGGCATAGTAATGTTCTTTATCCAATTTGACTTTAGGTTTGAGGCTTAACATGAACCCTTCCTTTCTGGGTCCTTTTGAAAAGGTGGAAAATGCTTCCAGAAGCAATTTTGTAAAAAGAACCAATCAATATTTTCATCTTTAAAATATTTATTTATATGTGTATGCGTGTATTTTGCCTGTATGTATGTCTGTGCCCTATGTGCATGCCTTGTGTCCATAGAGGCTAAAAGAGGGCACCAAATTCTATGGGACTGGAGTCACAAATGGTTATGAATGGTCATGAGGGTTCTGGGAATCATACCCAGGTCTTCTGGAAGAGCAAGCTGCCAGTAATCTCAACCACGGAGCCATCTTAGCCATTGCTCCAGCCCCCAGATTCAATACTTTATAGAAAAACTTAACAACTAGTAGATGGTTTTCTAGCATAAAAAACTTAGGTGGTTTCCTTAAGTTATTTAAAGAAAGATGTGAATGAATGACGCCTGAAGTATTATTGAACACTCTTTATTTGGTGTGTTTTCTCTCCCCTGTCCTCTCCAAACCAGTATTGACCTGAAGCTGAAAGAAAAACCCTAGCTAGCCGGCTGGAGGAGGGATCACTTCCTGCTTCGTGGTTCTGCTGACATGCCTACCTGGAAGAGACGGGGCTCATGTCACCTCCTGCACCACCTGGTGCCATTGGAAATGTCTGAAGGGGGATAAATATGAAAAGAATTTGTTTACTGTTAAAATATTTTATGAAATGTTGTGTATTTTCCTATTTTGCCAATTACGTGCCTCAACAATTTTAGTTGAACCTTAGCAAGAAAATAGAACCTTCCATTTTAATATTCTGTTAACCCTTGGTGCAGTGGGACTTGGTTCCTTAGACTGGCTTTTACCAAAAGCATAGCCTAACTCTGCTGTTAGACAGATGAGGATGCATGTCCGTAGTCTGACTGAATTTCCCTGTAGAGCTTGTTCTAGATTTAAAATGCAAAGGGCTTGCCTTGTCCTGGGAATGCAGTTCTCTAGAAACTCTATGAAAAGCTGAGACAGGCAGCTACGACACCCTCATCAGCTAAGGTACCTGCTCCCTCCCTGTCCACTTGAGTCTTCTTTAAATTTTCTGGAGAACATAGACTTTCTAACCCATGTAAGCTTTACATAGCTGCATGCAATGGCTCTTTTAGGACATTATTTCACTAATGATCTTTGGAGAACTTCATGTTGTGAAAGTTAAGATGAACATCAAATTGTCAATAGCTAACTATCATGCTTCAGGCCACAAAGCAGGTTCAAACCTTTAAACTCCAAGTGCCAACTCCAAGGTGGCCAACTCAAACATAATTTGGTAACATTGAATCATCCAAAATTAACACTCATGTGCATTGCAAAAGCAACCTGCTTTCAGAGGTATAAAATTAAATGCAAGTGTATACTAGCCTTTATGAAATAGTTCGTTTCTTGTTTTTCTATACCCTTTAAATTGCCAGTGTAATTTCTAATCTGTGGATCTCTAGAGGTTGGCAAGCTATGCTGAGGGTAGGGCTGCAATACAAGCAAAGGTAGTTTCCTTCAATCAGCCATATTTAACCATACTAGCAAATTTCCAGATCTTAATGTCCTCAAATAAAGTAGGGCTCCACTACAAGCAAAGGTGGTTTCCTTCAATCAGCCATATTTAACCGTACTAGGAAATTTTACAGATCTTAGTATCCTCAAATAAAATGCAACTGAAACACAGGGAGACACATTTGTTTTCAAACTGATACTTCTTTCACGCCTTCCTCTCCAGAATGGAGTAGTGACAATGGAGTAGAGGAGAAAACAAACAAAACATGCTGATCCCTACGCTACCAGATACTCCTCCCAATCCCACCCTGGCCTCTGCACCTCTTGTATCTATTTAAATGCTTTGCCAAACTGATTGGGCAGAAGCAGCTGTAAACTCATTTGGTTTTGTCGAAAACATTTTTTGACAGGATCTCACTAGGTAGCCCTAATTGGCCTAGAACTCACTATGTAGATCAAGCCGGACTCAAACTTGTGGTGATCCTCCTGCTTCAGCCTCCCAAGTGCTGGCATTATAGCACCACCATATCTGGCCTAGTAAAGAAAATTTTGACATTTACAGACAGTGGAATTTCACCCATGGCCTACTGAGAAAAGTGAGGGGCCCTTCTCACAGAAGCATGCAATGGCCAGACTCAAGCTGAAGCTATCCAGAAAGCTCCTCTTGAGGGTCATTCTCCAAACTCACCTGTTACCAGGCAGCTGGCAGGCACCAAGATGGCATGAAGACGGGCCCTGCCTGCTGGCTGTGTTGAGGAGAGCTGTCTACACTCTGAGCCCTGGAGAAGTCCCACAGCAAGACTTAGTTATGCATGTGATGGGTTTCTCTGGGTCCTTTTGATTCACGTCTGTTTCTAATCTGCTCTTCCATCTGAGCTCACTCCATATATATGGGCCAGTTCCCTTTTCTTCATAAGCCTCCACATCACCTTCTAGATTCACCTATTGATCCCTTTCAACTTGGTATCTTTTCTGACCTTTGTTTGTTTTTGTTTTCATCTCCCTCCTCGTTACATTTAGCTAATTTCATAGGAAAACACCAGTATCAGGCTTTCACAGCCTGCCCTGACCTTTGGAAGTCCAACCCTGAATGAACATCATGGTGGCTTGAGTATAAATAGCTACCCAATTAAACTCTCATTTGCTCACGTGTCTAACACATTAACTCCATTCCTATCCCATTTGGAAGATGAATTACAGATTCCCCAGCCGTGTTGAACCCATGAAGTCATGAGGACCTCAGAGTTCAACTCAGAAATCTGTAGATATGGGGCTGTTGGAAGAGATTGTTTTGCACAGCCAACTAGGTACGGTAACAATCCCACCATTTACACTTTCTTTGAACTTGTCCAGCCTATGTATGGAAGATCACTCAGGTGACATGACATAGTAAATTTAGTGTGAGCATCTTTCAAATAAATGATGTTTGGAATACCCTGGGCTGTAATACCATTCCAATGTTTAGGCTTATGCTATCTTATTATCTTCAAAAAAAAGTTACTTTAACTGCACGTACTAGAGAAAAGCTACCATGTTCATCAACTCAATAGACTTCTGGCAAATCCCTGAAATAGCCCATAAACAGGTAGATATAACTCTTGCATTGCTCCACTCTAGTGCCTGCACCCTCAGCATTCTTGCTTTGGTTCAGACTGCCAGGAACTGCTTTGCACTTTTTCCTGTCAATTTGTAGTTGAGGGAACACCAAGGCATCATCAGGGCCAAAGTGGTGTTTTCATTCTAAGTAGCAGCTACTGTTTAGCTAGCTTTAGACTAAGGGATGGAACAACAATCTGCACAGAAAGTAGTTGATGAAGAGTGGGATGTTGAGGGCAACAACTAGGGATGAAAAGTCCCAAAGTTCCTGTTGAAGCCATACAGTGTTATATAAGGTTCCTCCCTAGGGCATACTGATGAGCAAGGACGTCACTCTCCTTAGCCTCCAATCTTAGGATGTAGTTTTGAGGATTTCTTTATGGTTCTGCATAACTACTGTCTTATCACAATGCCCCTGTGGTCTGCTACTTTAGGATATCTGTGTGTGCACAAATTAACCTTTTATATATTGAAAGAGTTTTCTACATGTATTGGATTGCTCAGAGTAAAGTATATATTAGACTTGTTTTGGTAAACAAATACTACCTAAATAGTATGGATCAAAAATATGAAAATATGTAAGAACACATATAGCTATATACCCTGGCTGTGTAACTCAGAAATAAAAATAGATTCCACATGGTGTGGTTTCCTTTTTCAACTTAGTGAAACTTTCTGTGGCCTTCCTTAGCAGGAACATGATATGCTTGGCCCTTGCCACAGACAAACTGTATATATTGTGGCTTTCCTGGCCATCTAAACTATAATATTCTCTTTCTAGTATCACCTTTCATGTCTTGGGAGTTCTTTGTACCTTCAAAATGTATCATTTATTCCTTGGCTAAATAGCTTCTCATTTTAGAACTATTCCCTTACTTTATGGTTACTTTATTGAACCTTTCTCTGTCACTTGCCTTTTTATAACATATTTATTTTTAAATTAAATATACTTAGGGCTGGGGGTATAGTTCAGTGGTAAAGTATGCTTGGAATGAACAAGGTTCTCTATTTGATCCCCAGCAAAATACACACACACACACACACACACACACACACACACGTGCGCGCGCGCCCGCACGCACGCACGCACGCACACAGGCATGCATAGAGGCATTTGTTTGTTTTGTTTTTTAGAGACTGGGTTTCTTTGTGTAACCATGCTGGCTGTCCTCGAACTCACAGAGATCTCTGCATGACTCTGCCTCCCACATGCTGGCATTAAAGGTGTGTGCCACTACCACCCAGCTGGCATTCATTTGTCATTTTAACCTCAGTTCTCTCCTCTCCCTTTGTTTTATTGTTTGTTTTGTTTTTCTGGAGTTTTTGTTTTTTGAACTTTCATAGCTTTTAGGCAAAACCAGTCAGAGTTAGAAACCACTATTACACTTTTTAACTAAATAAATAGTTGTGGGAGGTTGGGGGTGCAGCTCAGTAGGTAGAGTGCTCACTTAACATGTACAAAGCCCTCAGTTCAATCCTCAGCACCACATATAGTCAGCCCAGAATCACAGTCCTGCAGGCACAGCACTCTGAATTTACAAACACATTAACAAAAAGTCAGGATCTTTGTGTTCTCAGCATGAGTTCTGGTGGATTAGAATAAAGGAGGGGAAAGACTAAAAGAGAACACTGAACTAATCACAGATTAAAGAATGCCAGACTGTGACAAAGTGGACAGTTACGTTTCATTTTGCTGCTGCAGTCTAAGGAAATGGAAACTAGGGGTAGATTGGGTAGAATGAGGTGGGTGCAATTTCACATGGCACAGCTGTGAAGAGCAACAAGCTACACATTCAGAGAAACACTTAAATCACAGGGCAGAGGTAGGAGAGAGAAAAAAATTCTCAAAATACACACATGCTAAACAAAGACAGGCATTATGCAAACCCATGTGTTTTCAAGGACTTAGCCCACTCGTTGGAGTGAGTGCAGGGTGTGAGATGAAGGGTGAAATGGGGAACCTAATTAATAATTCAAATAAAAGGGAGGCTTATAGAGTGAATAAGCTTTCAGCCATCAAAGCCTGCCTTTCTGGGGAGGTCATGGAAAAGCTGTGCTTAGGCCATCTGAGTCTCCAAGGGGCTGTTCCTTTTGCATCGTCTCCTGTGCCATTTCACTGCATTGGCTCTGTCAGTGTGCATAAGCCTGGCCAAGAGCTGCTCCCCACCCATTGCAGCTTTCTAGACAGTCATGGAACTTTGAATTCATCTGATGACTTTAAAGTAGTGACCCAAACACAGCTTTGGGCTTTACAGAGTGGAAGAGGCTCTGTGGGGCTAATGTCCTAGATAGCCATATTCACATTTGCCCAAATTAACCTTTAAAGATCTATTTGATTTTTTAGTGTGTGTGCATGTGTGTGTGTGTGTGTGTGTGTGTGTGTGTGTGTGTGTGTGTGTGCGTGCGTGCCTGCCTGCCTGCCTGCCTATATGTGCACTATTGTGCACAAAGTGCCTAAGAAGACCAAAAACCCTTGGAACTGGAGTTGCAAGTGACTGTGAGCCAACATTGGGTGCTGGAATCAAACTCGGGTCCTTTGCAAGAGCTGTAAGTGCTCTTAACTCCCCTCCCCCAGTCCCCACCCCGAAACAGGGTTTCTCTGTGTAACAGTCCTGGCTGTCCTGAAACCTGCTCTGTAGATCAGGCTGGCTTGAACTCACAGAGATTCTCCTGCCTCTGCCTCCCAAGTGTGTACCAACTATTGCCTGGCCTGAGCCATCTTTCCAGTCCCTAAAATAACCTTCTTACCCAGGAAACTTTTTTCTTTTCAGTATATAACTATTTTGACAGAAATAACTGCTCTGTCTCTGAAGTCTCGTCCCTAGTGAGGGACAGACAGCCCTGGACACTTGACCTTGATTTCCTTTCACAACTCTCCCCCCTTAAGTGGGCGAGATGAATTACCCAGTTGTCCATCATGTTCATTATCTATTGCCATTAACAAGCTGAGGTTGATTCTCATTGACCATGATAGTTCTGTCCTATGAAATCAACACAGCATGAATTAGTGATCCATCGTAGAGGGAAGAGGCATAGAGCTGGGTTAGTAGGGACCTCTAGTTACAGCATTTCCATCAACTGACCAACACAGTGGCTTGCTCACTCTTTCTGTGTGCATGTCTCTCTATCTCTGTCTTTCTGTGTCTGTGTGTTTAAAAACACGTTTTTATTGAGTTCACACCCAACAGCTTGAATGTGTCCCAGCCAGAGCCGAGCTTCTCTACATGTGTAGTCTCTCCAGAAGACAAGCCCCAGGGATGGAGGTGTAGCTGTGTGAGGCAAGTGCTTAGCACACTCAAGACCCTGGATCTGATTCCAAGCATCAAAGCAACACAATAGCAAAAGAAGACACTTCACAGCCCTCGTGCATTTAAAAATGCTAAGCAGTACTTCATCACTACACTTGGGAGTCCTCTTAAATCATGAAACCAACAAAACAGGACACAAGGAAAACCATAGGAAAGGACACTTGTTTATAGCAGGCAAGATGAAGAAAAGGCATAGCCCTACTTGTTCAACCTCAGCTGGAGTTCCTCTCTCAGGCAATGCAAATGTGCCCCCACTCTGCACATGTTCATAAATGACCATGAAAATACCGTAAGGATTGATTTGAGGATATACATAGATTTTAGGCAAATTCATCCTCAACAGTAGAGTCCTTGAATATTGAAAATATAATCTATCCAATGACCCCAGCACCTTCTAGCAACACATAGTTATTTCAGTTTCTGGAGGTCAGAAAGCTAAGCATGGTATAGCTGGCTTGTCTTATAGGTACAAACTGGTGTTGGCCCAAGGTGTCTAGCAAGGCTCCATCAAGGTTTCACTGAGGCAGAATCCAGGCAGCTTACCTGCTTGCCTTGTGGATCTGTCTAACATGGAAAACTTGTTGAGATAGTGAGGCGCAGAGGTTAGCAAGATAGAAGGCACAATTTTTGTGTAATGCCATCCATCACAGAAGTTATATTTTTCTAAGTTTTCGTATTCTTTTATCACAAGCAAGTCTCGTCCCCAGTGAGGAACAGACATAAAAGCATATAAACCAGGAAGTGGGAATGTTAAATCCACCCCGAAAGTCTTTTGTCATACCCCCAAGCCCTCTGCAAATTCCTTGGACTCCTGCTTCCTGTCACTTATTAATAAAGGTGTTTGCCCATGTTTTCCTCCTTTGCTTTTTCTTCTGTTTCCCCAAGAATTCGACAGACATATTTCTTCAGATTACTCACCTCCTGGTGTCAATAGTGATGGTAAACCATCATTTTCCATCTCAGTCTCCATGACTTTTCCAGTGTCTGGGAGCAAAGGTTAAGCTGTCTTCCCTAGCTTGGTGATACCATTTCTCTACCCTCTCATTGTCTTTGAGAGCATACATGCTGGGATTTAAATCTTGGTTCTGCTTACTAGCGTGTATTACTTTGAACAAGTTGCTTAACCTCTGTGAGCCTCTCTTTGTCCATTTTTTTAATATGTGAGTCAAAGTTTCATCCTCTATATTTATATACTGGTTAAACTGTAATTAAATGTCCATCTTAGGGTTTAATACAGATTAATAAGTATTACAAAAAACCCACAAAACTATGGTTTCTCTCCCCCACCCTCACCCAGCACTGTCCTAGTATTTGCTAGTCAGCTCATCTCCAAGCCCATTGCTAGCCTCTTCTTTGGTTTCTGCCAACCATGCCTGAATCTCATTTTCTTTTTGACTCTTCCTCCAAACAAACAAGTTTCTTTACCTTGATAGCCTTTGTAATGGTGATTTTAATATCAACTTGACACAAGCTAGAGTCATTTTAGAAGAGGGAAATTTCCTATGAGAAAATGCCCCTCCTTGATGGGCAAGTTCTGGTGCTTAACTGATCATTGTTCATTCTGGGTGGTGCCACCCCTGGGCAGGTGCTCCTGGGTATATAAGAAAGCAGGCTGAGCGAGTCATGATGAACAAGCCAGAAAGAAGCACCCCTCCATGACTTCTGTTTCAGTTCCTGACTCCAGGTTCCTGCCTTGAGTTTCTGTCATTACTTCCCTGAAGGAAGTTCATCCCTGAAGGAAGTGAACATGAAATAAGCTCTTCCCTCCCAATTTTACTTTTGGTCATGGTGTTTCATCACAGCAATAAAAAACCAGCTAGGTCAGCCATGCTAGTCCAGCCCCGGTCAATACTCCTTCAAAATTCTTATTTCTGCTATTTGCTTCTTGGTTTTAGATTTTGACTGATTTAAGATTTATTTTTATTGTATTTAATCATGTGAAAGTGGCTGTGTTTGGATGTGGTGCAGGTGCCCCAAGAAGCCAGAGGTTCATGTCAGATCCCCAGGAGTTAGAGTCGAAGACAGCTATTAGCTACAAATATGGAGGCCAGGAGCCAAACTCCAGTCCTCTGGGAAAGTAGAAAGTGATCTTAACTGCTAGGTCATTTCTGTAGCCCTTGTTATTCACTTTTGTTTAGTGATGATCCCAAACATTGCAAGAACAGGGACAGAGCTATAACTCGGGCATGCGACGTTTCAGAGGCCCCAGATTCAGTGCCTTGCAGCAGACAATATAAAAGGAAGGGAGAGGCAAGGAAGGAAAGGGAAGAAGACATTTATGAGTGGCTTGTCTACAGCGTTCCTCATCATCAGCCAGTATTCAGTGTATCCTGCCTACAAGGACATCTCATCAGGAA